GAGGCTGCAGAAACGGTTCAGAGCTCAACTTTCCAAAACAGTGTCTAACCAAATGTTAAAGTTCAAAACTCTATGAAGAGGGACGCGGACCTTTTCTCCCTGGGCGCTTGCGCAGTACTGCCCGCGCGCTAGGCACTGCTCCAAGCGCTTGGCGTGAGCCCACGGCCCCGGCGTTCCTGGGAGGCGGGCGCGCTCCGCGCCGGAGAGACGAGCGCGCGGGGGCTTCTGCCGGCAGAAGCCGCCCGAGGCCGCAGGGCCGCCGTGCTCTCAGCCCCCCGCGCTCTCGGCAGCTCCAGGGCGCGTGCTGCCCGCTGACGTGGCTCCAGGTCATTTCATGTCGGGAGGGCCAGAGGAGAGCCGTCTCCGAAGCTCAGGGTCTCAAGAAGGCAGGCCTGGGGTTCTGCAAACTACTTTCAGTATTTTCAAAGTTTAGAATTCACATTATTACACACATCTAATCAAGACAGCATACTTATTAACACATGTACTTTGGTAGTAAGTGTCTTGACAAACAGATTTGTGGGGAGAAAATAAGAAAAGGTCTTGGGTACAACATTTAGCACTCAAAAATACATATAAATATACACGTAAGTGTGAGGGATCAGATACAATTAGAACAGGACACAGAGAGATGAATGAATATGATGGATGGATGGCTGGGTGGGTAAGGTGGGTGGATGGATGGGTGGATGGGTCGGTGGATGGGTGGGTGGATGGGTAAGGTGAGTGGATGGATGGGTGGGTGGATGGGTGGATGGGTGGGTGGATGGGTAAGGTGGGTGGATGGATAAGGTGGGTGGATGCGTAAGGTGGGTGGATGGATGGGTGGATGGGTAAGGTGAGTGGATGGATGGGTAAGGTGGGTGGATGGGTGGGTGGATGGACAGACCGACTGGCCAGCGGACAGGCAGGGATGAGTTCTGTCTGCATAAACATGAAATCTAGAGGTCACAAGAGACCATGAAATAAAAATGTCAGAAAAATCCTAACGACAATAAACTTAAAGAAAAGAAAAACCAAACCTTACGTTGAGCTGTACGTAGAGAGTACTGGGAAAACACAGAACCAGGAGCTTTCTTTCCTGGCACTTGGCAGCATCTATCCGTGCTAATCACACAGCTGTGACCAGCGTGCTCCCTGCAGTGACCACTCCAGATTAGAGACTACAAATTCTGCTAAAAGCCTCCTTCGCCCCCCAGTGCCCACAGTGCACCCAAGAGCCTCATCCCAAGTCTTCTCTCACCCTCACTTTGCACGTTCAACTGTCAAGTAGCCCTTAGCAGGGAACAGGAAGGGAGGAAACACTCCTAGCTTGTTTTCTGAGGCCAGAGTGTGTGAAGAAAGTTATAAACTGATCTCTTGTAACACACAGATGAAAAAAACCCCATAATATTCTGACACATAGAAGGCAGCGACATCCAAAAGGCGACGTCCACAAAGAATGAGGCTTATTCCAGCAACGCCAAGCTCGGTCTAACAGTCAAGAACCAGCCTGTGTCATTCACCATGTAACAGAATGCGACAAAAAAACTACCATCCCAAGAAATGGAGGAAAAGCATTTGATAAAATTCAAATCCCACTAGAAACAAGGAACAGAAGGAAACCCCCTCAGTCTAATAAAGGCTATTTATGAACAAAAGCACTGCAGCAAATACCACATTCAGCGGCGAAGCAGGACTAGCTCCCCCTTCAGACTGGGACTGAAACAAGGATGCCCCCCCCCACCGACACCCAGTCACACCAGGGTCCCAGCCAGTGCAGTCAAGCAAAAAGACCAAAAGGCACTAAGATTAGACAGTGAATAAAACTGTCACTATTTGCAGAAGACATGGCTCAGTAGAGAAAAAGTCTGAAAGAACATACAAACTTACAGAATAAATGAATTTTAGTGAGGTTGCTGGACACAAAGTCAATGTTCAGAAATCAGCTCTTTATACAGAAGCAAGCAACCGGAGAATGGCATTCACAAGATATTCCTTACAAAAACATCAAAATACATCAAGTATCTAGGAGTGTTTCTGTCCTCCGTGTTTTACTGGGGTGATTTTAGGACCTACAGAAAAGCTACGAGAAGAGCACGAGGGACCCCCACAGGCCCTTCGCCCCCACTCCCCGGACGCCGGCGTAAACCTCTGCTCTTCACGTGACCCTGAAGGGAAAAGGCAAGGTGGCAAGAGGAAAAGACATTTCCAGTACAAAAACTCTCACACCCAGAGCATAAAAGAACTCCTACGGAGCAGAAAGAAAAAGACCATCCTGCGGAAAAACGGACGAGAGTCTCAAGCAGGCACATCACCAAGAAGGGCTCCCAGGAGGGCAAGAAGTATGAAGAACGGTGCTCTACTACGTCACCGGGAGGCGGCTAGCTCAACGGCGCGTTTCTTAAGTTTTAATTTTTATGAACTAGTTGGAGCATTCAGAAAAAAATTTAAATGATCTGACGCTTAGATTTAACAAATGTTAGCGTCTTGCCACACTGTCTCTGCCCGCCATGCTGAGGCTGTCTGGTTGAATGGAGAAGCAAAGGCTTCACGAAGAAAGTGGCTTTGAGAACCTGGCACACGACTTACACCTTCTTAAAAATGAGCACAGCCACGGAGCTCAAAAATAACATCAAATGGGGATACAATCTGACATTGATGCAAAATCCGTGAAGCCTAACATTCAACTATTTCCTCCCATTTCCGCTGCAATCCAAACACTATGTAATTATTTTCATGGTCAACATTTCTGATCCACTTCTGTCCACAAAACAAGCTATAAGGGGCCAGGGAAAGGCCAAGGTCTTCACAGAACCCCAAGGTAAAGGCGTATTTCTACCCAAGGCAATGCCTGTCGTCCTGCCAGGTAGTTACCGAGACACAATCTGGACGAAGAAAGGGATGCTGCTGCTTTCCAAGTAATTAAGTGGTTCCGGTTCCGGATCTGCTGCACCTGACCTAACCGCTCCACTGCTGGTGTTAACGGACCATCAGCAGCGGGCCCCGCATACCCCTCCCTGCTTAAGGCCACTCAGTAGGCTTACAAATGAAAACAAGAAGTCCAGCGCACAGTATTCAATTAGCTACAAACAGATCAGATACAAACACCTGACAGGTTCTGCGTGGAGTATTCTCTTCGAGTTATTCTGAACGTTGTGAGCCCACTATCTCTGCACCGACACAATAAATCTTCCCAGCCATAAAGACCAGAGACCGCCCTTCATTGCAGTACTTCACTCAGCATGTAAAATAACCAACAAATGCAGACTTACTTGACATCAGTTTGGGGATCTGGGCTTGTCCTCTCAGCAGCGGCCGGTACAAGCTCCCCTGGTAGGTCGCAGGTGGTGGGGCAGCACTGTTGTAAACGCCGGCTCCCGGGCCTCTCGGCATGACGTGGCTACGAAAGGACCCCGAGCAGAAAAGAAATTACTTCCAGACACAGCCACCACGCCGCAGCCAACATCGCGCCCCCGTCTCACCCACACCGCGGACTAAGACAACGGAAACCTCAACGACTGGTAACGAACCAGGCTCACAACACTGCCTGACGACGGCGACAGCCTGTCAAGCAACCGGTGCTCGCTTGTCACACCAAGACTCTTAGCGGACAAGCATGTCAGTATTTATCAATTACTTTACGCAGGAAGTAGTTTGAGGCCATCTATTTTTCTGCATTGTGTTTCGTTTTGTCCTCAGAGAGCCGCACCGCTGCTGTCACTGTATCGCTGCCCTTTGAACAAGGTGGCTCGGAACGGTGCAGGTCCACTCACACGTGGATTTCCCCAGCAGTAAGTACCAGAGCACTGCACAGCCCATGGGGCGGAGGGCGGGCTCTAAGTCACACACAGATTTTCAGCTGCTCGGGGGTCAGTGCCGCTGACCAGCAGCTGTCAAGGGGCAACTGTGTATGCTACTGTTCTTTATCTTACGGTTTTCGGTCGATGACACCGAACATCCCCCCGGTATCCGTCGCAGCCTCCCTATGTGAGACGCGCACCCCCACGGAGCACTCGCACGCTCCGGTGCCTCACACTGCGCCGCGCCTGTCCGCTCGCTCAGCACTAGCAGCGCACACATGGGCCCTAACGACGCTCCTCTGAGACCACTTTCTCAGGGTAAATTCCAAGTAGGAACCCGGATCAAAAGAAGTTCAGAGGACCTTCAGAACTGAAAACTCTACTTAGAGGTATTTCTATGCTGCTTTCCAAAATGGCTGAAATAATGCAAAAAAAGATATCTTAAGAATATTTTAGATTTGCCTTTCTTTTGCTATTAAGAATGTAGACTTCCAAACAAAGCAGCACAGTGACAGCAAGCGTTCACACAGTGTTTAGGACGCAGAGAGCCCCACGACAGCTCCGTGAGGCAGGTGTCATTGTCATTCCCATCTCACACACAGGAGATGGAGACACAGAGCGGCTCGGTAACTTGTACAAAGACACCAAGTGGTGGACAGATCGTCTGAATCCAGACAGGATGCAAAGCCCGTGGCCTTCACCACCACGCCACGCTGTCCCCTACGAGTCACTGTGGAAAGGACATGCCGACGGTGGTGAAGCCCCCTCCGAATCTCAGGGTTTCCCTGTGAATCGGAAGTATCTGAGTTCCCGTCGTCGGTTCGTGAACAGGAGCTCACCAGCATTCACCCGCACACGCGGCCCTTCTTCTCCTAGCTCTCCCTGTCACTGTTTCAAAGTCCCTCTCTGTCACAGACAGCTGTCCCTACCTCCAGGAAGAGGACAGTCTGACAGCAACAAGGGCAGAGGGCAGAATCAGAAATTCACACAAGAGGAAATAAAAATGACCAGGAGACGTATCAAGAGACTTGATCCCACTCACAGGCAAAGAGCTGCAAACTCAAGCACCGGTGGGACACGGCCACTTGAGCGCCGGGGAGGCCACCACCCAGGAGCAGTGGCTCCGGGCACTGAGGCCCTGGGCCATGCGGCCCCACGGGACTAGGCTGGAGTTTGCTGAGGGCAGAGAGAAGGTTCTATTCTTCTGAAATAACTGTCAGAGAGACAGTGAGATCTCTTAGGAGAAAATGATGGAAATCTCAAGCAACACAACCAAAGTAGCAGGAGGGAATTTTTTAAAATGAAGGAAGAAAAAGTATCAAAGTCATTAACATGTCTGCAAAGTGGCTGTGTTTAATGGTCTCAAATGCCCGTGGCCTAAATGCTGGCTGACGCTCTGTGGAAGACCCAGGAAAAGCACAGCACACACAGACAGGACCTCCCACTCACCCCAAAGTCCTGAAGGCCGCGGGGTCCAGGTGGACGGGCCGCCGGTCCCGGCTGAAGCCCAGCTGGGGCTTCCACTGCCGTCCGTTGCTGGATTTCTCCCAGTCGCTGGGTTTCAACACCGGTGCAGGTTTTCTAGCCATTTGAAAACACAGTATTTCATTATAGGGAAGATCATTATTCACAGAAAACAAACCCAGAAAGTATATTTTGTAACTGCATTGTCACCTTGCTCCCGGAAGCATTACGGCCTTAAAAACGTAATCTTCAGCGAACTGCGGGTCTTTAAAATTAATACTAGAAGAAAACAACACAGGATTAAGTGATGTCACTGGATTGGCCCCGCTTGACTATTATCTAAAGTTACTTCTAGAGGTACTTTTGATCTTCAAACAGAATAACTAAAATTCAAAATCTTCTCTAAAAATTATTTTGTCAGTAGATTTTGCCAAACGGCCAAATGGCTAAAATCTTCCCCACCAAACTGGTGCTAATTTCTAGGACAGTCCTCGGGTAACTTTCTGGGGAAGAGCCGTGTTCTAGCTGATTATGGGTGATCACAGAGCAATAACAGAAACTGCCTGCCCGATGCTTGAGAAATTCCAGTATGATGTCAGAGACAGGTCGAAGAGGTTTACAGCAACAAGAAATAAGAAACACCTTTCCTTTTGTTTGGCTCCTGGCAAGCACTCTCCTCCTAGCATCTTAGGGAAGATCAGCTCTTGTTCTAAGAAGGATGCAAAGACCAATAGGAGTATTTGCAAAATCAGAAACACGACCACAAAGAAGCCACAGGGGGAAGAAACGAAACCTCCCGGGTTAGAAGCCTGCTCTGCTAACGTGTGCTTCTTCAACAATGTTAAGAGTCATAATCTGAAAGCTACGTGAAGGCTGTACATTCAGACTCTTACAAGCTGGGTCAAACCACCTTGCTGGGCGTGTGTGTGTGCTGGTGACACAGCCATGCCCCTCCCAGGGCCCTGGATATGCGCCTGGTTTATACTTAAGGCTGCTCACAGCTTCAGTGCTCACAATGTTGAAAACTGTAAAACCTAAGAGTATGAACACTACGAATAGTAGTGGACTGGTTAAAGAACCATGGTTCTTTCTAAAAATGGCATCCTCTATGAATTTTTTTTAAATGTAGCAATGAAATACATAATGACATGGGGAAAATACACACACTGCAGACTGGACACATACTCATCATAAGGTCATTCATACAATCAACCGTTTCCTTTCCTCCTCTGTGCTTTTTCCATATTTCCCAAAATTCTTCTGAAGATTACAAATTACAGTTGCAACAGTTAAAAAAGCTTTACCGAACTGGTTGACATTTTAGATAGCTAACTTTTTTCTCTTCAAATACTGACACTGTAAATAATTAAGGGCCCACCTGTTACAGACAATTTTCACTGCCGTAGGATTTAACTGCATCTTTGGGTACTTGGTAAAAGAACACAGAAATAGTTTCATTTACAATAAAGATGCCATGAGCTCAGGGCAGCTGACCGACACTTCATTCACTCAGTCTGCTCCTCCTGGGAGGCCCTCCCCATCGGCAACTGTCTTCAGCTCAGAAGCTCGCCACTCGAGGCGGCTTCGGGCAGGGCCAGGCAAGACCGGCAGGCCGGAGGGTTTAAGAGGGCGGTAGGGGACGTCTCAGCGTGCGGGTTTGTTAGGACTTTAAAGATACAAAGTGAAGACAGAAAACCGGCAGTGAAGCAAGACTTGCAACTAAAGGATCTCAAAGCAGCTCTCCCGGCGTCAGCAGAGCCTTTCTGCAGTTTACCTAACAACGTTTCAGAGTGCCCGCTGCACGCGTGGCCTCGCGGTGGGACTGGAGGGCACAGACACTGACCAGGCCTCGAGCCTGCCGCCCCTTCTAACTGGGAAAAGAAACAGCAAATGTCTCCTAACAGTGCAGCAGGGAGGAGAGTGGAAAAGACAACCACGGGCGCAGGCAAGACGCTCGCTCAGGTGTGCACACGCCTCCCGAGTGCGGGCTGCACGCACGTGGGGGCGGAGGGGGCTCCTTCACGCGGGACCAACAGGCTGTGGCTGAAGGCAGGACAGGATTGGCCGCAGGGTGACAGAGGAAACAAAGACACGGAGGGGGGACCGAGCCAAGGAGCAGCTCTGTTTAACGGGAGCGGCCTTCCGGGCGGGGCTCTGGGAGAGACAGAACGAGCCCCGCGAACAGGGTCTGAGAGACTGCTCTCTCGGTTCTCCCCGGGGAGACACGTCACCAGCACCCCTCTAAAGGCGCAGGGCCAAGACCGATTCATGTGACAAATGCTGTAAGTTCTCGAGACTTAATTGTCAGGTGGGGCCCCAGGGGAGAAGCGATGGCTTGGAATGAAGACAGACGTGAACAGAAGTGGGTGGTGAGACGGCGGGCTGAGCTGGAGCACGCCGTGTGCGGCTCTGCGGCCCGCGGGGTGGGGGGGTGGGGGGAAGCCACTGCAGGCCGCGGTGAGGGAGGGACGCGGGATGCGGGTCAAGTTGCCATTCAGAAAGAGCCGCCCGGCCACCCAGTGTGAGAGAGAAGGGCGTGATGTCGCCTCTGGGCAGGGAGTGCGCCTCTGGGCAGGGAGTGCGGGGCAAGCAGAGGGGGAGGCAGGGCTGGAGATGGAAGCAAGGCCATATTCGGGGCAGGGCTTGAGGTCATGCCCAGGAAGAGGTGAGTCTAAGAAATGAAGGAGCGGCCAGGTAACTGGCTCCCGGGAAGGAGAGAGAGTCCCAGATTATGGGACAATCTCTCCTGAGGGACAATGTTACAACAAGAGGTCTAATAAGACAGCTGAGACTAACGTTTGGGAAAGCAAATTCATTTACTCATCAAATATGTGCAGTTTATTGTGTGCCAACTATTCCTCAATAAAACTGCTTTAAAAATTCCATTACTCACGCTGCTGCTCGGAAAGGGAAAAACTTTCCAAGCCAACAGAGGGAAGCCACCTCCAGGGTCCTCCCCTCCGAGAGCCGTGCTCTGTAGAGTGGCCTGCACGTGCCACACGGGGCAGCCGGCAGGAGGCATGAAGGGGTCTCGGAAAAGAAGTCTGGAGGTCCCTGCAGAAGGGACACAACTTCTCATCTGAAAGATTAAGATTTTCCCTTGGATCTTGGAGAACAATTTGAAGACTTACTCTCTCATAAAAAGAGTTACTAAGCTTCCGCTGGCTGACACATTCTAGTATTTCAATTTGTTCCTCAAAATACATACTAAGAACTATGATGCTTTTAGAAAGTAAAGAGCTAAAACACAACTCTACTGTACTGCCCCCTGGGGTTAACATCAGCCACAACCTAGACCCCCTGCAAGTCAAACAGACTCAGGCAGGAATCCGCAGACAAAGCCCCAAAGGGTAACGGGTAACTTTTTATTTGGATCCAAACTTTCAAAGTTCCTGTGGTTTTTTCAGGTTGATGTAATTCCAATTCTTTCAGAAAGAGCATCAAAAATAACAGAAATAATTTCATTTTGCTAAAATATGTAAGTAATGATGAAAGTAACAAAGAGGAGAAGACAGGTTGCTCTCTGACCATTTTCCACGACCAGAAGCACAAGGCATTACTGGGGAGAGCTCTGCAGGGGAGGGAAGCAGTGACACCGAGGCAGTGAGAGGCAGCCGGAGGGAGGAGATGAGGTAACAGCAGCCTCTGGGCAGGCTGAGGTCGGAGACCCGAGTGTGGGGCCACACTGCTTCTCCCAGCTCAGTGAAACAGGAGTATTTCTGCCACTCCCAGGTGGAACAGTGCCCACGCACCCAGCTAAGCTTCCAGCTTCCAGCCCAGCTCCCACACGGGTGTACGATGGGTCCCTTCCTTGGTGGGTAACTGCCCTATTAGTTTAATCACTTAACTGTCTTCATAAACACACGAAGGACAAAATAAATAAAAAATTTAAACCAAAGCCTAGCTGGAAGTAAGGAATCTGAACAGCGCTTCTGTGTCACAAGCAGCACTTTAAACAGCAGCCCTAAGAAGAAAACACCACGGCTAAGTCGCCATAGAAAAGGACGAGAAGGCGTAACACTTGCCCACTCCCACTCGCTCTCAGAATTCTCCTCAGAAAGGCTGCTTTAAGTGCTAGCACCGTTGGAGTGTGCTAGCAGAAAACTCCAAATAACAAGGTTCATTTTCACTCTGTGTTTCCCTGACACGTTCCATAACTGACGCCATTACGCAGCGTCCCGGTGCACGCTGCTCCTGCAGGGGAAACGTCATGGTTCATACACCTGACATTTTAGGGCACTTACAGAGTTCACAGGACCTAAGATGCCTTTTCTGACGGCCCACCAGGAGAGGCTACCCGGCCCCGCGCCCTGGGAATTCAGCACTGCAGGCAGCGAAGGTGCCCCCTCCCGAGCGCCCCCCACCACCACGGCTGGCGCTGCTCGGCGCGCTGTGCTTCTTCAGGCCTGGGATTCCAAGTACCTGCTGGGAGTCTTAGGGACACTGCAGTAATGGCTACACTAAAAAAACCCATCTTCACGTACATCCACATTTTAAAAAAACCCCCTTGAAGAGACAGAACATCCTATCCCGTGCCTGCTCCATCCACAAGTGAACACAGAAAGTGAGAAACAGCCCTTTGAAGAAGAAAGTTTGGGCTCCTGGGAGACTTTGGCAAACACGTGTTCTAACACTACCAACAACCGAGCTTTGACCTGGGTTTAGAAGGATGCCAGGTGCCAGGAGAGAAAAAGAGGACCCTGAGAATGCTGCTCATGAAAGTGACACCCATGAAGGTTATCTAAATGACAGGCTGCCTTCAGAAGAGCAGACAAGCAGTGGAGGGCAGGCGGCAAAGGGCAGAGCCCTCCCAGCAGCGGGAGGACGGCACAGAGACGGGCACTCGGGAGGCACCACCTGGAGAGCAAGGAGGCGGCACCCCGGAGCGGTGGGGACTCAGGCACAGCCCTGGGCTCTGCCAAACTACAGCAGGAATCAAGGTCCCAGAGGGACGGCAGTGTTTAAGGGGAAGACAACAGATTCAGTGGGAAAGGAGGTGGGAGGAAAAAAACCAGCTGGGAGGGCACTACAGCAACCCAGGAGAAGAACGTGCAGAGCAGGCTCCGCGGGAGAAGCCAGAGACGCAAAATGATTTAAGAAAAAACTACTGCAGAGCAACGGTGCAGACACACAGAGCAGCGCGAAGTGAGAACCGAGCTCCTCCATCTGGGCACCCGGGGAGCAGGCGGCCCAGGGGCAGGACCACGAAGCAGGTGCGGACAGCGGTCCGAGCCGAGACAAGCCGGGTGTGCATCCACTCGCCCAGATGAGCAGAAAACTGCGCTGCTGCACCAAGAAGACAGCTTTTTTATAATTTTAAACCATGTACAGGTTTTACAGAATTAAAGCTCACAAAGAATTATTCTAAAAATACTACGCCTAGGCAATCTGCCATGGTAGAGGACGAGCAGGACGAGGAGAACCAGGGGGAACAGCGCAGTTCTCACCAAGGGTAAACCACTGCGTGCTGAATCGCTGACAGAGTCACTACTAAGACAATCCCAGGTCACAGCTGGCTGTATCCTTCAAGGGTCCTTCTGTGAACTCAAGACACTTCAATAACCTCTAAAATACACTTTCTCAACACCACAGGCAAGATCTAAGGTGACGAGAAGGACACACCTGAAGCCAGCGTGAGGACACAGCTCATCGATCTAGACTGTGACCTGGACAACACAGAGAGGGGATGGGAAAGGCCAGGAGTCCAGAAAGAGGGACACCACTGGCGCCAACGGCGACAATTTCAGGTCTTTGTCTGTAAAGCAAAAACGACACTGGGGTACACAGCAAGCCTGGAAGCAAACACACGCCACGAACCACAGTGAACTGGGTCCTGGTCTCAACAACACCTCTCCGAGGAAACAGAGAACTACCTCACCAGGTTAAGAATTAACTTTGCTCTTTCATGAATCTCTAGGAAATCAACTCAATTAAGTCAATCTTATCACGAAGTTATTTTCAACATATACCTGAATATAGACCTGGATCTGAGATCTGCTTTATAAATTTAATTATCTTGTGAAAACACTAGGCACTGGATGATACCAAAGGCCCCTGCAGGCTCCGAAACCACCACCACCACACAAACAAACCTCCAGGACCCCTCAGCCTCGCAGCTCTTCCCCTGGGCAAGTCTCCACACTAATTAGAAAGTTAAGTAGAACTGACTGTTTCTAGAGGGCTGGGAAGGAAGGCCCCTGGAAACAAGGAAGAAACTGCATAGCACGGGCAGACACGGGGCAACCCGGAGAGCACCGGCGGGGAGAACGGGCCCCCGGGGCCTAACGCACGGAGTCCTCGCGGCTGCCCGGGCCGGCCTGTGTGCCGTGGACACAGAGCCGGGCTGAGGGTCCGCAACTCCGCCCTGAACAAAAGCCCGAAGACAAAGAGCCAGGACAATAATGTGTAAAGATAAACAGAAATTGGGTGAAGGTAAATAAAAGCAACTCATCTGGGAAGCACTCCACATTCACAACAGTTTTCCTTAAGTAAAAGCCTAGTTGCTATTTAAACCCATTAACGGCGGGAAAAGAGACACGCTTCTACTTCACAGTAAGAAATCCAAGACTCGCTGCGAGCGGGAAATGGCACGACTGCGTGGGGGGAGCACTCAGGAGCAGCTTCCAGTCCTTGAATCAGCACAGCGTTTGCCCTGCTTCCGTCTAGAGACTGAAGAAAACGAACACAAACCTGCCACCGGGGTCAGTAACTACACACAACAACCACACAGATGAGTGGTGCGTCCGCTGATTTTTTACATTCTAAACATTTTACATACTCAGCAGAAAATGCTGTCACCACTGAAGAAATGAACTATAAATTTTCCAGACAGTAGATATCAGTCCTTATAACAACTGTTGACAAAAAATTCCACAGATTCCTTCCATTTCATCTTAATCAAAATCCAGTATACAGAAGTTTTGTTTCCAGACTCCGCAGGGCCACGACTGTAATGTAATTAAAATGGTCACAAGCGCGTGGGTCTCTGCGCCCCCACGGCGAACCCCCTCCCTAATCCAGGAAGAATCAGGGGTTGTCAGGGGAAACTGGAAAGCAGAGAAGCAGGCTTGTTAAATCAGGAGCCTTAACAATATACATAATTTAAAGTCAAGAGTCTCTGCTCTGAGGTCTGCAACACGGGGACTCGCCGATCTCAAAGCGCTGGTGGGTAACAGCCACAACCTCCCTGTGAACCGGAGGTCCTTCCTGAGCTCACGTGCAAGTTCACAGCTGCGTCCTGGGCGGCTGCCGTGCATCTCGGGACACTCACCTGACCGCGGTGTTCTGTGTCAGGTCCCGTAACAAGGGAACCGGAGAGCACACCACCCTGAAGAGAAACGAGACAAGGGCCGCCTCTTTGTCAGCTGCTCCTTCTGCGCAAGCAGCAGCCAGACGCTGCTGCTCGTTAGGCTTTGAGGAAGGAAACCGTTAAAGTGCACCAGCAAAAAGCAATATAACCCCACCTATCTTTAAACAAGGACCCTATCTTCCTCGTTTGTAATCTCACTAACAGAAAACAATTAATGGGCAAAGGGTTTGTATCAGAATCTGTACAGGAACACCTACAAAACAAAAGGGGGAGGGGACAGAGAACTGAAGAACAGAACAGCTATTTCATAAACGAGGAAACCCAAAAAGTTAAGGAATACACCACATGGCATTCCGTTTCATCAGTAATCAGAGAAATGCAACTGTCATCAGGACAAGATAACCAGGGTCCGCCACGTGGGCAAAAATTAAGGTCCTGACCGTCCCAAGGGTTGCAAGACCCCAGAGCAACAATCTCTCCCAAAAACTGGCACTGAAATTATAAACCAGTGTAACCACTCTGGAAAACCAGCAGATCTACTCCTGGACCTACACCCTTGAGCCGCAGCTCTCCAACTCTGATCTCAGAACCCCTTTATGCACTTAACAACTGCAGACCCCAAGAGTTTCTGCTCATGTTGGTTGCAGCTATCATTATTTACCTATTAAAAATTAAAACTAAGTAATTTAAAATATACTCTAATTTAACAATAACAGTGATAAACCTATTATTAAAAATCTAGTAAGACAACCTCAGGAATAAACTTAATATTAATTTAAAGAACTTTTAAATGAAAAACAACTACATTTTACAAAGCAAAACAAAAAAGACTATCATTACTTTAAATTTCTTCAATGTATAGCTTAGTATCTATCTTAATGTTAGTATTAATAGCTGGATTCTGTTATCCACTTCTGAGTCGACCTCTTGCGTTATCAAACTACATTTAGCCTCTGGAAAACCACCACACACTCGAGAGGAAGAGCGAGAAGGGCAAACAGCATCGTAACACCCTGGCAGTATTAGGAAAACAGTCTTGACCTCGTGGATCTCCTCAGAGGGTAGCGGCAGGGCTACTGTGCTGAAGAGCTGAGCCCTGAGCCCAAGTCTTTTTCAGTCCAGGGGTTTTCTGTTGCTGCTGTTTTGTTTTCTCACTACTTTCTCATTATTACTAGGAAAAGAAACATTCAGGCAACAAAGCAAAAATGCTAACAACTGAACATCTTCCCAGCTGCCCCAATTACACACAGATGAATGCTTACTGATCTGGAAGAATGGCTTCTTCATCCAAAGAAAACCTTCCTTGAATCCCGTGACAGAGTTCAGGTGGTACATCCACCGACTGTGGAAAAACACATTCCTGATCATACACCCCAAAAAATGGAAGGCGGGGACTCAGACGCACGCCTGCACACCAGTGTTCACAGCAGCATTGCTCTTGATAACCAAAAGGTGGAAACAATTCAAGTTCCCACCAACGGATGAGTGCATGCACAAAATGCAGTGTATGCACATGATGGAATCTTACTCAGCCATGAAGGGAAGGAAATTTTGACCCAAGATGGCTGAACCCTGAAAGATTACACTAAGTGAAGAGAGCCAGACACAGGAGGACAAATGCTGACGATGCGATTCACGTGAGGGATCAAGTCACGCAAATTCACCGTCAGAAAGTGGCAGAGAAGTCACCGGGGCTGGGGAGGGCGAGTGGAGAGGTGCCATTTAATACTGGTTACTGGGTACAGAGCCTCCAACTGGGAGGACGAAAAGGTTCAGGAGATGGACTGCAGTGATGGCCGCACATCACTGTGAATGGTCTTAATGCTACAGAATTAAACACTTAAAAAATGGTTAAAATGGTAAATTCTGTTTATATTTTACCAAAATGTAAAAAGTGTACCCTGATGAAGCAACCCAACAAATACACCACGCGAACACGCTTCCTGACGGTGTGGCCGCCGCACCTGCGTGGAGCCCGCCCGGTACAGCTCCGAGATGAAGTCGTGCAGTGGGTGCTGCCGGCCCACGAACAGCACGTCGCCGCCCAGGCTGTTTCTCCTGGCTGGGGGAGGGAGAGAGGGGCATCAGACAGCTGTACTTGCAAAAGCAGTAAAAGGCATCCAAATTTTGTAAACTTAATTATAAAGTTTATGAAAAATAAATTAACAGCAAGAGGCCTAAATATGTGACACGGCTCTGTAGGAAAAAAAACTAGCAAAAAGGCTTCACAGATCAGTGACAGTCAGGAAAGGATCACTAAAAGCCGGCTGAGCACAGGGCTGCACGGGGAGGCCCACGCTTCCTTCCCTCTGCGGAGCTCAGCATCTCACTGCAAGACACACATCGTGTCACCTGAGCACAAAAACTATCCTAAGGATGGTTGACAGAGGAATTATTTCTATAGGTCTATTACACTGGTATTCAACAAATTTTCCAAGAGCCCACCCTGCAATTTCCCAACATTTTAAGTATCAGAATTAACGACAAAATCCCACTTTTGTGAAAAATAACATGAGCAAGCACTCTCGTGTCACAATCTTCAAGCAAAGTTACTGGTACTGAGCCGGGGTTGGGGGCAGGTGAAGGGAAAAAGGGAGATGGAGGAAGTCAAACACCTGTCAGTTTAAGATTTTCATTTAGTGACGATTCAATTTATGGATAATAAATTTTAAAAAACAAATTCAGCTTTTGTTACAAAGAAGTTAAAACCAATGATTTATGCCCCCTTTTATAAAAAATTTGACAAATGGAAAGTCAGATTTTAGAAGGAAACGTGACGCGTGTAGGACGCAGACTCAGCGGCGACCAGGTGAGTGCAGCCTTACACTCTTCGGGAGTGAGGTCCGGGTACACCTCCTCCAGGGCGGCCCGCAGTCTCCGCTCGTCCACGAATGGCAGCAGCGCGACACCTGGGGAGACCAATGCACACCAACCGCGCTGCTATTAGTCACCTAATTTCCAGCTGGTCCAAGCTAACAGTTCTCATAGGATGTTCCTGCTAATATAAACACTTTGGAACTGAGCTCTAATTTTCAGCCAAAATTCAAATGTAAAAGAAAAAATTCCAAAATTTCCATCCTTAAAATGGCTCATATGGGAAACCATGTTTGAGCTTAACTCTGTGATAATAAAAATTCTAAATTAAATGAACAAGAGGCCGAGACACCAGTCTCTTTCTCAGCCTCACTTACTGGGCGCCCTCGGGCAAGCGGCCAACCTCCCAAGGGCTTAGGTCTGACCATTCATCCTTCTAGGACCTTGGTGTCTTCCTGCTGAGATCATTCAACAGGAATACTCGTAAGTGTTGTTCAACTAGATTATTCGAAATGTCTATTCCAGCTCTAAAACCGCATAGTACTGTTTCCATGTTGAAACCTGAAGACCAGCTTTTACACACAAACAGTGGAGACCTGTTTGCTTAAATAACTTTGGGGAGGGTAGGAGAGATGCTCATCTTCAGGCTGAAAGCTGTCGTCTGGCGCGTGCTGGAATTAAGGTCAGTGTTTTACCTGGACCCACGTGCACGACCACCAAAGAAGTGCATCAGCAACACAGTTATCTCCTACCAGGAAACGTAGGAAGTTACGAAGCGCGTTAAGTTCTGCTGTTATAGTATAAATAGCATTTTGGCCAAATAAAAACTTTAAGGTAAACAGCAAAGAGAAATGCCAAATAGAGCTAAATAATTTTGAAACTACTGCCACTCAAAACTGCTGTGTTTGTGATGACTCCCTTTAAAGTGATGAGAAATGAAAGGTTTCCAAAGTCGTTAATTATTTAGCTACCATATTTTCAAAGTTAGGAAACGTGTGCCATTGTACTACCTAGTGAGGAGAATATATATGTATTTTCTCACGTTAAAAAGAAACTAAGTTCTAGTGGGAATCTTATAGCGCCTAAAACATGATTTCAAGGTTGTTAACGTCTATCCTGAGTCAGGCTATTTCAATCACCAGTAAGCACTCAGATGGAAAAACCTAGAAAGCTGTTCAAGTTTAATTAGTCACACACCTAAAAAAGTTGTATCATGAAAAAACAGCAACATTATGTAGCTTTGTCTTCTACCTACCAGATTTAGGACCTAAAATACTCAGAAAGGCCTTCCTACAATGCCAGCGCCAGAAGCTAACTCCACGTAGGAAGCAACCTGCAGGCCAATGACAACCACCTGGTCCTCCTGGCAACACACACGCCACCCCGGCCAGGACAGCCGAGCGCCCGCACCAGCCGTGACCCCGGCGGCCCTGGCAGCGCTGGAGGACGAGCCGACAGCACCCAGGACAACAGCAGCTACTCCCTCCCGAGCACCCACCCCGTTACATGCTCTCACTCACTCGGTCCTCTCCACAACCCAGAGGCGGCCCAGACGGCAGTACCGTGCAGGTAGACACAGGGGTCAGACTCTCCGGATTCAGCTCTTAGCTCTGCCACTGTGGGACTCCAATCAGATTACTTAAATTTTCCATTCATATGTAAAATACACAGCATTCGGAATGTCTCTGCTATACAGTCCTTCTCTCCGTACTACGCAAATATGAAAACACAACATTGCTACCATTACATACAATGTTGGTAAGAACACATGTTCAATAAACGTTGGAAAAGTACCCAGCTATGTTTCCCTTCTACCATTTTAAGATGTACTCAGACAAGAACCTAACGACTATCATTACTCTGCATGGGTTTTAAAGACATGTGTGAAGAAAAGACTGCCTCTCCCAACAGGACTGCATTTTACCTCAAGAACGGTGTGTTCTTGTTAGAACCTAATAGATGAAAATGTTTATATAAAATATAAAAATATTAAAGATCTGAGTTTAAACCCAGCCTAAAATTCACCTGGAATCTTAAGCCAAAACAATCTTGAAAAAGAAAAATGCAACTGAAAGACTCACGCCTCCGGATTTCAAAGCTTACCAGAAACGAAGGCAGCATGGTACTGGCGTCAAGACAGATATACCGAGCAACAGACAGACAGCCCAGAAATGAGCCCGCACACGCAGCCACCTGATTCTCAGTAAGGGTGCCAAGACCATCCACCGGGGAAAGGGCAGTCGTCTCAGCGAACGACGCTGAGAAAATGGACATCCACACGCAAAAGAATGAAGCTGGGCCCTTCCCCTACAACATACACAGAAATTAATTCAAAATGGCCCAGTGCCCTAAATGCACGCACCAGAACTACAAAATTCTCAGAAGAACACAGAGGAAGTTCATGACACCGGATTTGGCAGTGATTTCTTAGATGTGACACCAAAAGCAAAGGCAACAACAAAATAGTCCAACAAAAACTGGACTTGGAAAATTTTAAACTTTTGTGCATTCAAGGACCCTATCAACAGAAGACGATGACCCACAGAACGGGAGAAAATACATGCACGTCACGTATCTGGTGAGATTAGTGTCCAGCACATATAAAGTACTCCTGCGACACAACAACAAAAACCCGTTTCAAAAATGGACAAAGGACCTGAACAGACCATTTTCCAAAACAGACACGACTCCTCTGGACGGTTTCTACCACAGTGACAGTCAGCGGTCACCTGCACGCTTGCGTATTTACTCATTTAACAAAACACTTTAACAAACAGACAAATGCACTTACATCTTCACTTCACTACCCGTCCTTCTACGCCTCCTCTCCCTCTCTGATTACTCCACAAACGTATTAAAACAACCAAAGAGCTCAATCCATTTACCTGGAAAACACGACCACAGAGCACAGCACCTACAATCGACAAGACACAGGCCCGTCAGCACTCCGCTATGAAGTAACAGGGAACTCCTGCTACTACAGACACCAAGAGTCCACCCTAAAACCTCATCAAGTGATCGCTTCGATCTGTAAGTTACTCTCTATTCCCCTTTGCTCCACAACTCTCTTTGAGGCATTTCACAGGTCTTCTGCACCACGGGGAATAATCAAGGAAAAAGAGTGAAAACGTAATTTTACCAAACATGCTTACTACTCTAGAAAAACGTATGGTGGAAGAAGAGGCAAACATGATTTGGTGAATGGGGTCTGGTGCACGACAGCTGGCTGGCTGCCTGTGCGAGACTTCACTGTGCTTTACAATCAGTCATCATGCATTTTTGAGCAGGTAAGTATCATCTTAAATTTAGTACAAATTTCATATATTGTCATTCTTACAAAAGCTGTGAACAGAGGAAATGAGAAAATAATATACAAATAAGAAATAAACTTTAAATTATGATTAATGTCAAGTATTTAAACTAAATTTCTAACACATTTTTCAAAAGTGTCCCTGGAGTATGAGCAAACCTCTACAAGGGCATGCTCACACCTCTACGTCCCTCAGCAGCCTCACAAGGGGTCAGTGACTGAAAGGAGCATGTCCCAAGTCCCATTAACTACAAGGAGATCCAAAAAATAATGATTAACCTATTTCAACCCAGTTTACTGTTTATCAGAATGCTACTATTAAAATTACTAGCAATCACTGCTAATCAGGTGGGATGGAAAAATATCAAATTTTCACATGTAATTCTAAAATATTTATCTTTTACAGGAAACGTTTTATCCCATAAATCGTGTTTGCTCAGAGTTCTAGCAAAAAGAGAAAACTGTTTCAACAAAAAGGACTCATGTCTAAACCTTACCTTGCCATGCATACTTCTTCCCATTCAAGTCAATGGCAAAGTCTTCAGGGTAGAAGTCGATTATGCTAGAATCCTGCACCGGGGAGAAACGTAGACTCAAAACGCGAAGCCACACATTTCTCTTGTAAAGGTGTTAATGTAACTTCTGATCATGTTATCAGGCTTGATAAGAAAACGAGCTTTCATTCCTTTTTAAAATGGTATTCTTTAAATTGCAAGTTTAGTGAAACAAAATAAGTAATTTTATTAACTGTAATTTGTAAAAGATGAAAAAGAGGCATTACTATAGAATTCCAGAGTGGACAGCTGTGCACCCAAGACAGGCAGTGAAGAGCTTACTGACTGTGACCACCCCACCTCCCAGCTGAGTCTCGCGCCTCCCAGGGCACAAAGCCAGCCTGGAGGGGATTCCAGGCGGGCCAGGTTTCTGAGCTCTGGCAGCCACCACGAAGGCTGGAACAAACAAAAATAATGGCTTACAGGGAAGCTGAGAACACAACACCTGTTCTAAGAATTTTCCCCAAACACAAATCAATTTTATTTACTGGTTAGGGTACTGATGGCCAAGGGAAGCAGGAAAAAAAAAGCAGTGAAAAATATACAGAAGAACTCAAATACTTTCATTTGTTTCTGCACTTCACGCTCTTAAAGACGAGATGCAAAAGCAATTGTGACTATTGCTAGTAAAATGTATGACAGAAACCCAGGTCCCAACACCCTCAAAGCACTGAAAGACTCACAGGGTCACTCATGAGCTTCCGCCATGACGGAGGCAGAAAGTTACCACTTGCAGCTGGAAAAACCCCCATCAGTTGTTCCAGTGGTTTAAACTGCAAAAAGGAAAAAACTTCAACATCTGACACACAATTTTTATCTAAGCCAGAATTCTATGAATTTTATGGCCCTAAATAATTCGGCTTACCGGTTTAGTCCCCTTCTCAAAATCAGAGGGCATATCCGCAATACCTTCAAAGTCTGAAGCAAACGGCGCGTAGTGGAACGGGTAGTACCACTTCCAGGACGCACAGCCCTAGCCACCAGACAGCAAAACCCACAATGATGTCAGTGACACAGAGACAAAGAAAGAAGGACTCGACTATTCAGCCTATAACATTCCATTTATAAAACACATGACTTCTGTTAATTTTTCCACAAGTCCTAGAAGTTATTAGATTAAATCTGAACTTTAAAATTTCATGTCAATGGTCCCTTGATTTAAAAAATACTGCAAAATGTCTTTAATTATCAGTAGCTAATACCAAACTTTATATTAACAAACACAATCTGGTGAAGATTTTCGTCCTTAAAATGTGGCTGGTGGCATTTTTTACAACTCTGGAGCTGCTGTCATCAAACACAATGAAAAGCAGCTGAGCTGACACTCCCTGGGCCGACAGGCCAGGAGGGGACAGCACCGTGACTGAGAATAAAATAGGGAAAAGTCTTACCTTACAATTCCCTATTATACTTTCAGTGACAAATTTCTCTATTATAAAACTATTCAAGTAAGCCCACCAAAAAACCCCCCAAAACAAAAGCAAGTTATGCTCATAGAAAAGAGAGGTCTTCCTGGTATGTGTTTGGACCCTGTGCCTGGTGGATTAAAATCTCAGCAGGAGTAAAACATGAAATTAAAATACTTTATAGGTGATACTTGGTGCATTACTTTCTACTTCCTAGGCTCCCCTACTCTCAGATCACACCAAACTTCACTTGCTTCCCTCTCCGAGCACAAAACCAGACAGAACCGCCGGCGCCACAGCCCCACGTGTCTGCCTGGCCTCTCACCAGTCTGACAGCTCAGTTATCACAGGCCGCGAGGAAGGAGGAAGTGGTATCATTCAAGATCCTCAGATTCTTACCAGAATTTTCCAGGCTTTGTCCTCTGTTCAGTCACTGAGCGCCTATCTATTAGCTACTCAAGTATTTTTTCATTCCAATTTTAAAGAACACTAAACTTAAATCATTTGGAAGACAAAGTACACTCAACGATACCCGATGTGGAAGCCCTTCAACACAACATACATTAGCTTTGTTTGTATATTAACACCCAAGGAGGTTTAGAAACAAATATTATTTAAAGTGATGAATTTCTAAACAAAAAGCTTAAAAAAAAGTGAGTCTAGGTTTAATTCAGAATATAGCTCAATGGCACACATTATTACAGAAACTATTCTCCTAAAATGACTAAAAGCTGGAGCTCTAAAGGAAAGCATTCCCTCTGTACCTGGTAATAATAGCGAAGAACCCAGCAGAGCCCTTCCACGTAAGACTGCACAACTTTGCGACGGAACTTCTCATCGGCCGCGTCCACGTCGAATTTGTTCTTGTAGTACCGCTGCTTCCAGCCCGCTTCCCACAGTCTAAAATCCAGGCAAAGCCAGTTCATGCTCAAGTAATGTACTTTTGGTAACTGTCTACCTATTCATCACCCAAATCAATGTATATTTAATATCCAGGTGCAGTGTAAATAAGTTAAACAGTAATGTTAACAAACACAGCTTCATTTAATTTCTAAAAAGTCTACTTTCACAGGATTTATTACCAACTTAAAGACATTTAAACATCAGAAACTCAAACACTGATTCTAATCAAATCATTATAGAACCACATTTTAAAAAAGAATAGTCACTAAAGTAGACAGAACACTTGTTCGCTCAAATGTTCATATTTGTGGAATAATTCTAAAATTACATTTAAAGATTCAAATACTGCAGGTATTTTTAATAGCGCAAGTTCCTCAGTTTGTTAAAATATATTTAAACTGTACAAAAAAGTCAGTTAAATTACTTTAAAAAAAATTGCTTGGGTAACTCGTTTAGAGGTAAAAGGTGGTTTATAAAAGAGTAAAGTGTCTACCTAACCCACTCCTCCCACCCCCCTTGGGCCTTAGGCGCTCTGAGCTAAGAGCTGTCAGCCGAAGGCAAGGCTGGGCACGCGCAGGCAGGCAGGCAGGCGTGTGTGTGTGTTCTGATAAAACTCAAAGGCAGGTCAGTCAACTCACTACACAATCATTAATCACTGAAAATACAACGTGAAGAACCGCATTTTTCACCCGGAGCATATGTTTTCCTAAGCACTCACTTCTCATTCTCTAAGAGATTAAAACATTTCCTTGAAGGAACACAAAGCAGCAGGGAAAAAAAATCCCGCCCGACCAGGAACACCAGGTAGGGCGAGCCTACACTAAGACTGCCCGCTGCCGGGCGCCCGGTCTCACACACTAATTGCGGTCGTGTTTCAGGACACAAGTGTGCCCTGCTTTTCAAAAGTTTGCATTACACCACTCTGCTTTTGCAAAAGACCTACACGAATACCTGTTTTCTTTAACCGAAAGAAATCCAAGGAGGATTTCTGCTTTAACCAAAAAAAGAAAGTGGAAATGACGTTCAGTGTGATTCCTGCGAGCCGTCACAGGGCAGCGGGAGTGGTCCCGCCAAGCCCTGCCCGGGAACCGCAGCCAGCATCCAGCTGCCGGAGCTTTATCTCCGTTCATTCTGTGCATCTGCTGGCAGATGTGTCCTAAGGCCACTGCTGCTTCACTGCACGGCACGGTGGCTATGAGAGGTGTCACGGGCACCTCCACTTTGGGACAGTGGGGGACCCCATACCCCACACACACAATGGGTTCACAGAACACCAACCAGGAGAAGGATTCTCCGTCTGTAATGTGGACTGTCACCATTTTATAGAAACTATTAACAAAATAGATGCTAAGAATCCCAAGCATTTCTTTTGGGGGTGGGGCAGTAATTAGGTGTTTATTTATTCTAGTGGAGGGACTGGGGATTGAACCCAGGACCTTGCATGTGCGAGGCATGCGCTCTACTACTGAGCTATACCCTCCCCCCTCAAGTACTTCCTGATAGAAGCATTCCTACCTCGATTATACTCAGCACAAGGATTAAATGATAAAGTACTAAATAAATCAAGCTAACGATTAAGCTAGTATTGATCATGATGGCTTCACAGTAAAACAAAAAACACTCTCAGAGGAAAAGCCATTGTTACAGAAGCAGAGCGGTAAAACTCAAGTCAGGTAAGTGTTCGATTACAGGTCACCAGAGATCTCAGAATCTGACATCAAAGGATGTCTGGAAAGCACAGAATCACACATGACAGCTGTCAAGTTTCTAACCACAAATACAAATACAGCATCGACACCCCGTGTAGCAGGGTGAACTGTGGACCACTGCTGTTTGCTTAACTCTGAAACATACCATTCTGCTAAGTTCTTAATGAGTTACTGAGACTGTCGGCCTTCTGCACTTGGAGCCCAGGATTCAAACCTGGATTTAATTACGGCAGAGGCTGGCAGTCTTACTATAATGATGACCTCAAACTTCTCGACCAATTAAAGAACCAAAGGTTCCTACTATAAGGGGGTAAGTATACTGCTAAAGGAAAACTGTGTAATGAAACAGAACCGTGCATATGCAAGTCCGCGGCTTTTAAAACTACATATTTATTTCTTAACCAAATGACTTTTGCATATTTCATCTTGAGGAAAAACTTCTCAACTGAGACTAAAGCAAGCCACATTATGTATCCAACAGTAACTGAGCCTTCTGGGTTAAGCAGCTCACAGATTCCAGCTCAGCACAGCAGCGTGCAGATCGCACAGTCCGAGCTCAGCACCTCGCGTCTAGCTGATCCGGGGCCTGGTCTCAGAGGGAATGAGGCTCGGAGGGCAAGAACCCACGCGCATACTAATCTCCATGCTTGGGTTTAACGGCTACAGCTTACTCCTCTCCCTGGAATTGACTGGCTGTTCCAACCCTCCACAGTAATTACTGGTGGATAAAAAGATCACGGGCAAAGATCTGACGGCACCGAGGCTCTAGGCTAAACAGCATTAATTAGACTGCCTCTATTTCAGCAATTTGCTAACAAAGTGCTACCAAAAAAAAGGCTTCACCTGACGTTATCCTCTGGCTCAGGTTCACTGTCACTGTCTTCCGCTTTTCGCTTAATCCCTCTCGGAGACGGGGAGCCGTCAGAGGTGAAGCTCGTGTTAGGAGACACCGAAGGACTCTGCAGACAAGGACGATGTTCAGAGGAGGATTTAATTATTCATTTCATACACGAAGTTACACCCAGCCGCTATCAGCACCATGCTTCGTGCTACTACGTTTTTTAAAGAGCTGGTAAACAGGCATGGTAAACGTATTTAGAAAACACCAAGACTGATCTGGCCTGTCGCACTTCCCCCAAGAGTAACACAGCGCCACGCTTCCTGCGCTGAACCTGAAAAGAATTTGAACATTCTGAGGGTAAAAACTGCTTCAGAAGAAAAACGAAAATTTTAATTTTATAGATTTTTTTTAAACTACTACTTAAATTGTCTTCCTTTGGTGATTCCCTGTTCTTAGGAATTCATGATCACTTTCTACCATCAAATAGCAAACTTTATGTAAAGGGGGAAAATACACATATACATAAATTAGTAATACATAAAATAGTCAAGCTGGTGAAGATGAAGTTAAATGCTACGTGTTCAAACTAGTACAACCCCTCTGGAAAGCAGCAGTTTAGCAAGACTCTGCCAGATAACTATCACATTATTTTACACATACTGTTTTAAAATTCAATGTAGACATAAAACTCTATTGGTCGTCTTAGAAAAATGCACACCTTACTAGTACTTCAAAGACCTAGATATCACTTTAAATTCACTACCATCTCTTCCTTCTGTCCCTAATTCAATGAAGACAGGAGCAGCCTACAGGATTTTAATATTTAATTAAAAATTTAAAATCTGCAACTTTAGTTTTATGTTAAATGACCAAAAACTTAAGTGGCAGAAAAGGTTTTCATGGTAAAGGTTTTTTCTGTTATTCACAGTATATTAGGTATTTCGAGTAAATTGAATTATTTTTAAACTGAGAGCTCAAGAAGATATTTTAATGATACTGTAGCTAAAACCTTAGCATAAAGGTAACTCCCACCACAGGCTAAGAACGTTTGTTACAGCAAAACAAAATTGTATTTCACATAGAGTTTAAAACACTTTCCTTTTAAAAATGTATAGTGTCAGTTTCACTCATGATGCCGTGTGGCCAACACTGTCCCCAAACCTCCACAGAACCAGTAAGGCAGTCAGTCCAGGAGCGCACGGCTGCACCCGCAAAGCGAGATGGGTGTGCTCGGGCAGATCTGAGCCGGGGGCACAAGGTCACCCTTCCGGGCAGTTGAAGCCGCAGCCTCAGCGTGGAGCGGCGGTGACAGTGTTCCCTCTTCAGAGGTTATTGCCGGGATTAAGTGAAACGAAAGGTGTGAAAGATCAAGAGCACACCTGATTCACTGAGCCATCACTGCTACCTTTTAAACCCCAGGCTAATCCACCTGGATTAAAATTACGAGAAGAAGCTGTGTAAAAAGCAAACTTTCCCGTATTGACAAAAGATAAATTCCATCCTTAAATAACAAAAACACACTTCTGAGGAAAAGAAAAAAGGTGGGTGTTTGCTCTTTAATGCTAAACCTCCACTCTCTCTTCTCTGTCTCTGCCAACAGAAGGATTCTTTCCTGAACATACCAGATTCATACTAATTCACAAAAAATGTCTTTTTTAAAAAGCCATTTTGCAATCAAATTCTGTTAAATTGAGAAATAAAGAAACCATGCATCAGAATGTAAAGATTAAAAACACATACTTATGAAGAAACAAAAGCCACGTGACCACCGGCAGACACGCGTCATGCACTAACACTTCCAACAACTCCAAAAAAACAGGGCAAAGAAAGCCACGCCGAACAACAAACCCAGAACTCCAAAGGTCATCTTTAAATGAACCGGTAACATGGCTTCATGACTTCCTTAAATTCGGAACATTCTAGATGGAAATCCCTCTGTGCAAAGACTCCAAGAGAAATAACTGTGTCCAGAGGAATTAAACAAGGATCAAATAAGCAAGGTGAACACCAGCCTCCCGACTCTGACACCATTTCAGGGGTTATCGTCAACAGTGGGCGGGTTCTGTGGAGCCTGAACACACCACTGGAGCCCTCCTCAGGGTACTCACGAGCGGCAAAGTTCAAACCCACCTGCCTCCCAGACATTAAGAAAGCAGCGTTCTATCATTCTCATGGCCGAGAACGCCGGCCACTTCCAGTCCCACTCTAAGGGGCTGTAGTCCCTGTGACCTTGAATGACAGACATCAGCCTTTACTGTTCTACTCAAGGGTCTCACTGCATCCCCTTTCTCTGACCCTCCACACCCCACCCTGTTCATGAGCAAGGGATAAGACAAGAAAACAAAAACCAAGCCAAACAAAAACACAACAGGAACCCAAGCGCCTCCTCTCAGGAGATGCAACACCTTCTTTCTCAGATTCCAAATCTAAGGTCCTGAGACATCTAGTTGAGAATATATGGGAATATAAATTCAATCAGTCTCTCGATATGGCAAAAAATCTCACATATGGGATTGCCCTGTAATAAGGGATGCGAGCATCAGCAGGATAACTACTAGAAAAGCAAAACTTCAGTGTCCGAATCTATGCCGTTTCCTCGGGTGTACCACAGGAAAACTGCACACAGCATCTTCTCCTCCCCCTACAGAACTCCCTCTCACGCTTACTAGCCTGAAGTGAGCAACGGCTATGACTCCCTGTGGCCTGTGCGGTAGTTCCCGCACCCCTGCTCGCCGACCTGCCGCGGGCCTGGAGCTCCTGATCTCATCAGCACAACAGGGAGCTAGTAGACAGCACAGCCTCGCTGGCTGGGACCACCTGCTTCTGCAGTTTGGACGACAAATTCAGACGAAGAGGGGTACCATGAGGCACATCCATTCAGTTGACATGCAGGGGGTTTACAAACAGGGAGCAATCAGAGCCTGGGCGGTGAGAGTGGCCCTGAAACCCCCTCGCTCTGTCCGCTGACTGGGCTGGCGAGGGTTCAGGCGGAGAGGAGACCTGTACTGAACAGACTGAGGAATACTGTTCTGCAGAAGGCCCGGAACCGAGCCCTGGAAGGCAAGGCAGGCCCTCCTCTCGGGTCCCACGCAGAGGCAGCCGGCCTTCCCCCGTGCTCCCGGCGCCGTTGCCGCCGTGCCTTTGGGCAGAGGGGGCGCCGTGGCCCGGCCGTGTCACAGGCATGCGCAGCTATGGGGCTGTCTATGCTCATGCGCACGCTCTTCTCTTCCACGTCACTTAGGTGTTATCATATTGATAAAGATGGATTTAAGAGAATTAACATCATCTCAAGGCAAAGGAAGTTGAGAAAAACTACAAAACAGAACCACTCCAGGCTAAGGGATTACCTCACACACAGCGGCAGGGGCATGCAACAGTCCCCACCCTCCGTGTGCACGGAGGCGAGTCACTTACGGAGCTGTTCTGCATCCTCATTTCATAGGCTGCTTGTCTCGGGTTACTGGCCACTTGAGATCCTAGTGAACCTCTCGAACCCAGGGCGTGAGGAGTTAATATTCCACCAGGGGAGAAAGACGGCTGATCTCTCTAACACAAACGGAAATAAACGAATGTAGAAATTAAATCACAACACAGTTAGAGGACAGGCAGAAACAAGGGCAGTGGGAATGGTCCCCACTGTGGGCACTTCAAGGGCAGAACGGGTTTCTGCCAGCATCACGGGGTCATCCACGTCTGACACGAAGGCGACCTGCCCTGCAAACAAGTCTGCAGCAGTAACCCTGCCCCAAGGGAACACGTGGCGCCCGTTCTGCTGCGACTGCACAGACTGAGTGCCAGCTACTTTCAGTTCCACGCAGGAAGTGTTCAAGCCTCACTAGGCTGTTCTGCTGGGTTTACCTACAATTTCCTAACACGTTCAAGACATGATTTTAGGCAAATAAAAATAACAAATAATAACACAAATATAACATTTACCTTAATGGTTAAAAAAAAGTCAGGAGTTTGATTTCTCCGTAGGAAATACAGCTTCTATTAACCCTTCACCTTGCTAGAATTTAACTCTTTACTGCCAATTAGAGATATGATTACAGCTATAGTAGGTGACAGCTGTGGCTGACTGATAGCTACTGACACAAAATAATATCTGGTACTACATATAAAATAAATAAGCTGCAAGGATATACTGTACAACACAGGGAATATAACCAGCATTTTATACTAACCATAAATGGTATATAACCTTTAAAAATTGTGAATCACTGTCGTCCACCTGAAACATGTACTGCTACATGAACTATGTCTCAATAAAAAAACTAACTGAAAAGAAAGTAAAAAATACATAAAGAAGAAACCAAATACGTTCCTCCCAATCTAAGCGGCTTGGAACCGTCCTGCAACAACAAGTAACTCTACTCTTCTCCTTTCTGGGCTCCTGAAACTGCTCAAACCCCATGAAAGAGGAGAATAAAAGGCAGTCTCTCAACTGCATGAGTTTAAAATTCAACAAGGAAGACAAGAATCGCTAGAGATAAAGGGAAGGACTGCTCAACCTAGCCTACAAGCAGAAGCAGCAAGGGAGGCCGGGGAGACGACAAGGTGTGCGGGGTCCGGAGCAGGCACCTTCTGGAGGGGCCAACGGGAGGCAAGGCTCCAAGTCAGGAGGGACGGGGTGCGCTGAGAAGAGAGCAGGGGGAGCTGGCGGCCAGGGCCCGACCAGACCTCAGTGCGCACAGCAGCCACACCAAGGGTCACTGGTGACTTCCAAGCAGAGAAACAACAGGGCTCTGATATCTTGTTCTAGGAAGATGAGCCTGACAATACAGGCTTGCAAGGGGACACAAGGGTCGACTGTTCTTACCACAAAAACAACACCTGACTCTTGTAAAACCTCAGACAGCTGAGTGTCACCTGCCCGCTCCTGCCTACCGAGTGTTTCCTGCAGACTCCCTATGGCTTGTAGGACAGTGGCAATAAATAAGGATCTCTTTAAAGTCAATACCAGGTAAGAAGGCAGCTGGGTGGGGACTAAGTCCCTAACCAACCCCTCCCGGGAAAGGAATAAAAAGCTCAGTAATGAACATCCTCCTCCCCAGCTGTGAACTTAACACCACTGCCAGTCTTGTGGAATTCGGGAAAACTCACCTTCATTCTCTTTCTTTTTTCTTTCTGTCGTCTTCTAAAACTGTCCTAAAAGTATAAAATCCACATATTCTGTCAAATAATTACACAAAAATGTAAGAGTTAAACATTACCAGGAATGATTCAGGAGACAATTAAAGTTTTAAAGGAAGACCCCAGAAACCAAGGCACACAATTAAACTAGGCAATGGAACGTGCGCTCTAAGTGCTGCAGAGCAGAACTCTGGATGGACAGAGAGCGTTCTAGACTGAGTTTAGATACAATTTAAATTTTTCCTCTTAATTTTTTTTTTCAGATTGTTTTTCACACCGTTTCAGGAAAGAATGCAAGAGTCATGACAAAGACCCCTGGTTTCACGCTGGAGTGAATAGGCTGCCGATGTGGAGAAGACACACATAAGAAAACAAGTCTCTTAAGTTGTAACTGAATACAGCTAATCATCAAGATGACCACTGAAGAGAGTCAACAAAGCAACTTAATAATGAGGCTTGACAGGTCCTAACCCTGAGACACGTATGGCACAGCGGCTGGAGAGCAGTGGGGCGCTACGCAAATCCTACCCCGCCAAGTCCAGGATGTCGATCAAAGACAGGAAGACAACACAGGTGTCTGCACTGCTTATTCCGGGCTGAGCTGGCCCACAGGAAAGGGGCCAGGCCCCTGCACTCGTTTTCAAAATGCAGCCATGGTTTCAACCAGGCAGGATTTAGGGCTGATCTTGCTCCCCACATACTGGGTCACTCAAAGGCCTCCTTTACCTCAGAAAGCACTGAAGTGACAGCTGGGGTGGTCACCCTACTCGCTGCACTGCCACCCCTCTGTGCCAGAGCCACCACCTGCAACGGAATTCTGAACCAGAGCTGCACCCCAACACGTGGTGACCGGCTGCCCTAAAACCTCCTGAGACGTGAACACCGCCCATTTCCCTAATCAAGCCTCTGCCCCACCATTAAGGAAACTTCTCCTATCTGACCACGGCCCTCCCTTCCTGGCCGCCAGGACCCTGCACTCACCTGCCCTCCTCTCTCATCCTGCTGCGTCTCCACGCAGCTCCCCAGCCTCTTCGTGCTGGTGGCTCTCTGGGCCCGACACTTGGCCCTCTCCACTTCTGTGCTCTCACGGAAGTAATCATCCAGTCTCGGGGCTTTAAACACCATCTACCTGCTGACGACTCTCCTACCAGGACCTCTGCCCACTCATCGCCCAACCTGGGTGTCTCAAACGGAACACGTCCAAAGTGGAATCCCCACCCCCAGTGCTGCCCCTCCCAGGCTTCCCATCACAGCTGCTCAGAAAAATGCTTGGGTCATTCCTGACACCTCTTGTCTCACATCGAGGATTAATCCGTTAGCCACACCTGCTGGTTCCAGCTTCAAAACATGCTCAGAATCCTGCCACCTGTTACCTTCTTCACTGCCGCCATGCTGGCTCCGATGGGCTGGCTGCCTCCACACAGCAGCCAGAGGGATCGCTGTACAGTACGTATCACACCTCTATCACGTTTATGGTTACAAGATGTAGACTGAGAGCTGAAGTCCTGTTAACGACCTACAGGGATCTCTCAGCTCGGCCTCTGCCTTCTTTCCAACCTCTTCTCCTGCCCCCCCCACACTGGCCCCTCCGTTCTATGGACACCCGTGTGTGCTCGTGCCCTGTCACAGCGGTTCCCTCTGTCTGGGATGCCCCTCCTGCATGGCTGACCCCTCACATCCTTAGCTCTTGGTTCTAAGCCGTCTGTCAGCAAAGCCTTCTCCAGTCGCCTCTTCTAGGACGGCAGCCTTCCCACCCTGCCTTCCCAGACGCTTCCTCATCTGCTTTATTTTTTCATTTTTTGGAGGGGGGAGGTAATTAGGTTTGTTTACATAGAACAGAGGTACTGGGGATTGAACCCAGGGCCCCGTGCGTGCTGGGCAAGCCCTCTACCACGGAGCTGTGCCCTCCCCCCACCTATCACTCTCAAACACATGACACAGTTCACTTCGTTTCTGGGTTTACTGTCCATCTCCCCCGGAGAACGCCAGCTCTACGCGGTCAGAACTTTCGTCTGTTTTTTTTGTCCTTTTGATTTTTGCTGTATCGGTAACATTCAGAATACTACCTGGCACATGGTAAGCACTTAATAAGGATTTGCCAAATAAACAACATCTGCAAGAAGAAAGGCAAACACCAAAGCTCACGGAGTAACAAGCATCGCGCCGACCTAACCGCCCAGCCTCAGAGCGAGCACAGATGTAGCCCCGGTCTCCTCTCTGGCCCGCTGTCTCTCAGGGAGGCAGTCACACAAGCAGAGCAGGCCCACCGCACACAGATCCTACTCGTGTTCAGTCCTTTTCTGTCCTATGAACTCCTCTGGAAATCTCTCAAAAGCCGTAGACACACTTTCCAGGAAAACACATGCACCCAAATACTTATTTATACTGAATCTCTGAGGGGTCATAAATTTTCCCCAGTACTCAACCACACTGACAGACGTCACACAATGTCACGGACGCCAAAAAGACCCAAAGCTGTGAAATGTCCTCTCTGCCAGGCCAGCGGGAAAACGAATCACATACTTAACCCTAGAGCACCGTGGTATCTATCCAGGGTCACACATCCCCCCCAACACCAAACACCGATATTTAATAGGACGGAGCCCGCTGAAGCCACGTAGAAGGACTTTCCTGGCATGACGTTTGTGCGCCGAGTAGCACATGGCAGGTACAGCTTTTTCTTAAGCATCAACGGCAGCAGGTCAAGTGGAGCCACTGTGCCTGGTGCAGAATTAGTTAAAAACGGCCGTTCCGGCAGACATGCGATACCCCAGACCAAGCGAGGTCTGTTTTTTGAATTTTACATGTGAAGCCTGCCAAGCACCCAAGGCTCTGAAAGCACACCTCCCTCTGCTCTGCAAAGGGGTACCCAGAGTTCCACAGCGGAGGACGCCAGCCCCAGGCCGCAGAGCTGAGGGACAGACACTCCTGTCAGATACAGCACATCCTCGCTCAGCCGGGAGACCATGGAGCAATGCAGCCGTGCTGGTACGTTACTACCGCTCAACAGCCACATGACTTAGAAAATCAGTCTCTGAGGGTAATTCCTTCACTTCCTTTCTGCTCATTTTACCCACCGCTCGCCTCCCTTCCACTCCCCCATAGTCACCCTCCAACCCACTCTGCCTCCCGGAGCTGCCCCTCCACCCTTGGCTCCCGGGGTGCCCCAGCCCTGGCCGAGGACGAGGGGCCTGTCCATCGCGCTCTGACGCCTTGGGCAGCACCAGCGCCCCGCTCTGGGGGCTCCTCCCAGCTCCCTGGGACAGATCCCACCTTCTCCCAAAGCGCCCGCACTCCTGAGGGCCCCGCGGGAGGCATTTCATTCCATGCACACTCCCAGGGAGTTCAAGTTCACTCTCACAGTGAGGTGTCTCCCCTCTGCTAGTGGTTCTCACATTTCCTTTCAGAGTCTGCTGCCAAGCGCTCTACATGCACCCATCCAACTGGTCCACGGACTGCCCTCCTCTCAGGTGTCCAGTGGCCCCTCAAACTCAGTATCTCTTCTCATCCCCATCCCATCCTGCTCTCCTGGGTAGATGAGGGGGACCTGCTATTTCAGTGAACGGCACCACAACCTCCCCACTGCCCAAGCCGGAGACCTGGGCTCCTCACCTGAGCCCTCACCCGATCATATGAAGCCAATTCCCAAGTGCTTTGTGATTTTATTTCCTTTTTTAAGCCTACATTTCTTACAGCTGTAAGTCTCCGCTTTGGCGGATGCAATCCAACCCAGACCCCATCCACTCTGCTACCAGAGTACAGAGCTCCTAGATCCAGAGCAGAAACACTGCCTACAGCACTCGGCAGCCACTAGTTCAAGTCCAGCACTCTTCTAGCTGTGGAATTCTCATTTCATGTCCCACTGATTAGACAGATGTTTGGATTTACATCTTAGTTAAGAGTAAGAAGAGAAAAAATTACAATGCAACCCTCATAGTGTGCAATACACAGCTCCACACAGCAAGCAGCACAACCTTTATACCACAGTCAAAGCACTGGCCACTCGTGATCACCTTGGTGTTTGATACACTGTAATGATTTAACAGCGCGCTCAGAGAGGTTAAAAGGACAATCACAGGTCATCATAGCCTATTAGAGACAGGAGCAATTGAGCTACTGCAAGAGAAACACTTTACCTCATCATCCTTTCTCTTTTTAAAAATGCTATCCTCAACTTCACCAACTGCTAACATGATCATCTGTACTCTCTGCAGATTGACATAACCACTTTCTGTAAGGTAACCCTGTAAGTGATAAAATACATGTAAAATGATCTCCTTTTACAAGCAAATACTTCTGTTTTGAAATTATTCAAGAGTGAACTTACCCCAGTTTTGTGTACCACAGTTTTGTAAATGTTAACCAAACGGTCAATTGCACCTTCCCTGCCGCCAGGAAACAAACATTCCGCATTAGGACCAGCGTGCACTGCGAAGGCGGGAAGGCTGCGAGGGCGGCGGGGGACCTCCGCGCGCGCGCACACACCTGATCTCCAGGGACGGCAGGTGAGGAAGGAAGTCGTTCCCCACAAAGAAGCACATGAAGACCCAGTCGTCGATGCTCCTCTCCACGTCGAACGTGAACGGCAGGCTGGCCATGGTGAGCTCTCTCTCCAAGTACTACAACCGACAAGGGGCGCCGCGTTACGGCTGCCAAGGGGCACCCCACCTTCGAGCCCCAGGCTCGGGCCACGGCTACGTACCTCGCGGAGCACACTGAGCCGGAGGAAGATGAACTCGCCCTCTGCACAAGGAAGACTGTCTGCAAGCTCATCGTGCTGCAGGGAGGGGGGAAAGACTCAGCCCATCTACTCTGAGCCCTGCATTCTCGCCAACCGAGCAAATACTGCGGCTTTTCTAAAGACAGACCCGCTTAACGTTACAAGTATTAACTAAAAAAAGAACTCACCAAACCATTTGAAAAATAAAAATCACTCATAATCTGAAACACACCCAGGCGAGGGGTCGGAAATGTTTTTTTGTAAAGGGCCAGACACTAAATATTTTGGCCTGGAGGGACATTTACGGTCTCTGTTGCATATTTTTTCATGTTTTATTTTGTTTTTACAACCCTTTAAAAACAAAAAACCTTAGCTCAGAGGCCAAATCTAGAGGGCTGTGTTGTGAACTCGACCCTCACCCACCCAGTACCGACATTCTGATGAACACCTCACGTTCTCTGTCAACGTGTATACTTATCAGCTGCTTTTCTCACTCAACATGCCTTTTAATGAGGCACCATATTCTTAAAACAGAAACCCCTTTAAGAGAATGGATGGTGATCAAGTGAACCCCAAATATATAGCAACTAGGAGTAACTTAGAAGCACCAAGAAGTTTAAAATATTTGATTCATAGTTCCTTTTAAGAATAACCACTGGAGATAAATACTTCTACCAACAAATCGTGTGCAGTGGGCTTTATTAGCCACGAGACCTCAGCCTCACGTGGAGACAAGCTGGGTGAGAGACCGTGGAGAGCAGGAGCGAGTGCGCCGTGGCTCTGAACGTGTTACTCTAAGAGCTGAGGAAGACCACCTCTGTCAGGGTGACAGGGCAAGCAGGCAAAAACCCAATCAACCACGGTCTCCGCTCCAGCCATTCTTAAAATGAGGCACCTGAATATACCTAACGCCACTGACCTGTATACTTACACATGGTTGAAATGGTATGTTTTCTGTTACGTTTATTTTATCACAGTAAAAAATAAAATTTAAAAAAATTTAAATGAGGCTACTGGCATCTCAAAGTTCTTACCTTCCCCTTCTTTTCTCTTGGCAAACCTTCACAGTCCTTCACCTCGTGCCCCAGCTGATTACAGAGCCCGCACGGTTTGGGCTTGTTCGGTTTGAACTCTTCTCTGATGATGGTAAAGTTGGGCTCATGTGTAGCAAGGCCGAGCATAATGAGGTCAGCTGTCAACAACACCACCACGCGTGACAGTGGGAACGTTCAGAAGGCCCCGACTGCGACAAAGCAAGACATCACCGCAACGCGAGGCACCAGCGCAGACAAGCCCAGACGGGCACAAGAGCAGAGGCAGCACAGCCGCAAAGCCTGCAGGCTCCCTAGCAGGAAACAGGGCAGCCTCCAGATACGCGGGCCTAGGACACAGACTGCCACTCGAGAGCCAAGCATCTGGAAATTTTCCACTTAAAAGACATATGCAATCATACGAAGAGGGTGAAAAATGTTAAAAAAAAAATTAAAGATAAGTGAACATTAATCACAGATTAAACAACTCCATTCTAGTTCCCTCTCAAACAGAAAATTTTTAGAATTTCCAGGCAACCACAAATAATCCATCACTATACACCCACCCATCGACTTGCTATGTTTCAATCCAAGAGACTCAGACCCCAGAGAAGCAGCTTACCGTCAGCTCCACACAGGCAGTGGTGAGTGTTTGGGTCGTGGTTGGGCTGGGCTGAGGAGGGAAGACACGCAGTTACATCAGTGCACTTCACCCCACAGGCGGTATCCCATATCACCAAGTATTTTCTACACAACGGCTTGTTTTTTCAAGTGAACATATAATCAAACATTTACAAGCGTGCTTTACCTCTTTGTCTTCTAATGTAATCCATGATTTTATGTTCCCCTTCACCAGGGACACTAGCATCAGATAAAATAACCTACAAAAAGCAAAAAAAATTTTCAGCCGCCTCAAATTTTCTAGCACAAAAATCAATAGAACTGAGTATCTTAAATTGGGATAATTCTATTAATAGAGTGTTACTAACTGGAAATTTTTCTTAGTAAGGTGTTTATGTATTAGACATCAAAACTATTTCACTGGTTAATTTACTACATGGAATATTAAAAACATGAAATCTTTAGGTCAAACTGAGCCGTTAGAAAAATAGATCAGTTTCTCCCAAGTTCCCACTGTTTCCGCTGCTGCTCGAGTACACAGCGCAGAGCTACAAAAGCCCCGAGAGCGCCCATGAAATACAAGGTGCTGTGCCCAATTAATAGGGAAACAAGCTCATGAACCTCAAATTACATAAAAGTTGCCTTAAATCTTACTTAAATACTTAGGAAACAGCTATTCTTTAAAGGCAGCCCCATGACTAATTTTGCTGTATTCTGATTTCTGGTAACAGAAATTAATCTCACATACATATATTTTAAATCCCAAGTCCCACTTTACGGCTTCACAGTGATGGTAACTGGCACAGAGACAAAGCTCAGCTGCCTACTCCTGGACCACGCAGGGCACCCACCCCATTCCTAACAGCCCTGGAAGCTTCTCTGTCCTCAGTCAACCAGCATTTTACGGGGGAAAAGGACAAATAAAACCAGACATATCAAAGTGCAGCCTCAAATCATCCCCCTCATCTTTCTGGAGTACCAAAATGCGAAACTTACCGTCAAATTTTTCCACCCAGGGTCATTATTTAAACGATCAGCTATGTAATAGCGAAGGCATTTAGCAAGATTGTCCATGAACTCAGTTCCCTAAAATGACAGAAGGAAATAAATTAACCTACCGTTTAAGAGTTAGCAATAGCCAGCAAAGTATGAGACCACTTACTGGGGTAATACAGTTGCTGTCAAACCTCTCTTTTATTTCTTCTGGAGGAAGAAAGCCACCTAGAGAAAAAGGAACAATGCTCTGTTTTCCTCATAAAAAGTGAAGTAAGTTAGTCAGTATTAGGCCAGAACAACAAAACAAAAAGTTCAAATAAAAAAGAAAGAGAAGTGCTGTCACCTGAGGAACAACGTTGCCCTTTTTTGAAGAAAGGAAGATTCCTTCCCTCAAATTTAAAGTAAGATTTAACATGACTGCCAAACAACATATGGTACACAAAAGATACATACTGTGTTATAAAAACAAAAATTATGTTCTTCCTAATGCCCCTGAAGCAGCACGCGCACGCACGCATGCGCACACACACACACACACACACTAGGGGTTCTAATACTGCTAACAGTTCTTAAGATAAAGGGGTCTTAGGAAAACAAAATTAATATGCAGAGTTTATCACGGCTTTATATGCTAAGAAATGACACCACCAGCTAGAGGGAATTTAAAATCCTACTTCTTCCTCTATCACTGATGAGCTTTTTCTCAAGACACAAACGTATCTCTTAACATCTTAAGAAAGATAGCTTTCAATTCTGTTACAAATACACACAGGTTTGAGAGTATTAACAAGCTGCAGCTGAAGCGCAGAGACCAGCGCACCCCCAGCAAAGCTGAAGTGACACCAAAGGGACTGTCACGACAGGCTTGGGCGCTCTTTTTCCACCTGCTGAACGCAACATCCTGAACCAATAAACTGTGGCTTTCTTCCCTGGTCTACCATTTTGCCTCCTGAACAGAACACCACGCACGCACCCCGCTGGCCGGGCCCCGCCTGGCACACAGGCCTCTGGTGAGCAGCAGTGCCGCGGGCGTCGGGGGCCTGGCAGTCCTCCTCTGAGGACAGCTCCTCCCTCTGTACCCTCAGGAATTCCCAGGCTCTGAGGAACTGCAAAGATGACCACGTTCCACTCCACAGCCCCCTCCCGAAACTGAAGGGACGCGGGGCCCTCCCTACCTGCTGCCCCAGCCTGCACTGAGATGTGCAGGGCCAGGGGAGAGCCCGGAAACACGGTCCCCTCGCCCCAGGCCTCCTTGGCAAGTCCTGGGTTCTAAGGAGCAGCACTGAGCAAGCCACCCACACTGATCTGAGGACAATGTTCACGGAACTGTAGCTCTTTAACAGACCCAGAGGAAAAGGGAGTCAGAAGCACTCACGTACTTGCACTTTGCAGACACAGGGAAGTCAGCTGAGAGCTGCTCTCGCCTTCAACGACCCTGACAGTCTGCGCTCCCCGCAGGGGTTCCTTCTCTCTATTCCCCAGTTTCCCTATCACTACAGCGTTTGGAAATGAACAAGCTTATTAACAGAATAAAGGATTCTGTTAACTACTTTTCCTCAACAGTGGATATAAATTTTCCTTGGGTATCCTGGGATCCTGATTAAATTAAAATCTTAGCTATCTGTGGGGGGAAGCTGCCCCCTACCCCTTCCGCACACATCTTGTAAGAAGTCCGACTCGGAGACGCACACTCTACCTCTTGCCAGTATTTCCTCCCGGACGCGCTGCTTCTCCGCCGCCGCCTCCGTTCCCTCTTTGGACGCGCGGAACCTCCGAGAGCGCTGCTGGTTCATCTTCGCGCGGGGCGCCTGGGGACGCGTATTTCACACTCACGTGTGCCGTTCCAAACACGTGCACGAGATCCGTGCACTGTTTTGAATCGGCTGGTCTTACAAAAATAATACACTAAAACATAGAAGCTAAGTAGTAAGTCTAAACAGTCCTTCTGTGACAGACAGGCGATCCCGAGAGCTCAAATCTGGACCAAGCATCTCAGAGTCGAGCTCAGTTAGGTGAGCAAGTGACCTGCCAAAGGGACAAATACCCGACAGCATTAACACCGCAGGGCCCCCGACCTAATGCCGGGTCCGCTGGGTTATGGTGTCTCAAGACACCCAAGAAGGAAAGCTCACTTTGCTCAAAGATGCAGCCAGCACGCAGTGAGCTGTTAGCACGAACCCGGACTGGAAGACCTTCCCTTTGCCACGTCTGAAAGGAAGGACAGTCTCCACGTGGGATTCACAAGACCACCAAAACCTTTTTGTACTTCCCACAATCAGGTTCATAATTACCACTCTCTCTACGAGGCACAGCAGGTATAAAGGGAACAAGGTTTTACTCAAACGTACTTGTCAATCACTCTAAGCAAATATAAACTTAAACCACAGGATGAGTGGAGTGGACTGAAGGACATAAGGTTTTGAAATCACTGAGCGGAGTCTGGGGCTAGAAGGGACTCTCAAGTATCCTGTCTACGTAAAGTAAGTTATTTCATATCCTCTTTAAACAGCTCCCTTTCCTGCAAAACGAGACCACCTCACCTAGCTCTCTCAGCTAGCGAGTTCTACACTGATATGTTATAGACAAGAGCATGCACACACAGGTACACGCGTGTGCATGTTGCACACATGATCTCGCAGAAGGGCCCTCTGGAGTAACGTGAAAGGCCTTCAAGACGCTGAGCTAACGTGAACTGGAATATGTTTCAAATAAGACACACTCCTGTTCCCTTTATTCTTTCCTAGGCTTTAATTGAAAGTTAAGTTTTCAAATAAATAAGACTTTGAGTACAGAGAATCTCACAGAAAAGTTACTCTCCTGGGACCCAAAGTTTCCTGGATTTATGAAATCACTTCATTAGCCACTAAGATTACTAAATCTAAAAGAAAGGGAATCTATGTGCATACAGCTGAATAAGTTTAGGGCCACGATTCACCCTAATTTCCATGGACTCTGATGTACAGTCTGGCAGTCATTCACAGTGTAAGCTTCCTGATACTGTTACCTGAGTAAGTTACTCCGCACTTACGTTATTTTGATGACTGCCCACCGCCTGCAGGATGGAATCCAAGCTGAGCGTGGCAGGAAAAGCCTTCTCAAGCCCATCTTTCTACTTTGCTTTCCCGTCCCAACACCGGCAGTCACCCAAACGTGTCAGTGTCATCAAAGACCCGGGAAGGGTGTTGACCTGACACATCTGAGACACCTGGAGGTCCTCCTTCCACACGCTGTCCCATCCACTGCCCCCATCTCCAGTTATTCTCTACCCTTCAAACGCTGGGGCCAACGCCCCCTCCTCTCTGTCTCCTAACGCCCCTGAGGCACTGACTCCCCCTCCCTCAGAGCCCTGCACGTGTCTGCACATGTGGTCTAGTGCAGGTGGGCGAAGGCCCTGAGTAACCGGCCCTATTCATTTAACCGTCTCTGTCCCTTTAGCGACAAGCCCTTCAAAAGCAACAGCCCCACAAGCAGCCCCAGCACCTCACGGTATCTCACCCAAAACAGGAGCGCGCGTGCGTGCACACACACGCACAAAGTTTGAATGAATGAAAGATGAAGCTTTCTTTCTCAAATTTACCACAATCAACGTTCTTCATTATTTACCTGACTTCATTCTAGACACTGGGGACACAGGAAAAACAAAACCAGAGGATTCTAAGTTACTCAGCACGTACCACTCCATCTATCGCCATGTAGAGAAGGCGTCTTGGCCTCACAATATTGAAAAGTCTGTCGATGTATTCAAAAATCGCAACCATCATTTCATCCTCGTTTTTGGGTGCTGGTCTGGAATGACAAGCAAACAGTATAATGCAACACAGCCCTCCCCTGCCGTCTGCCACGTCCCCTCTGCCGTCTGCAAGGTCAGTGACAAGAGCGGGTCACGTACTTGTCCTCAGGATGAGTGCAGGGGTGGATGATTCCGTTCATATCCAGATACAGATTATCAAACTCCACGTCGTTTGGGTTGGGCTTGCTGGCGTCGACGGGAATCTTCACGCCATTGCATTCTTTCGGCTGTGAGGAAGGGATAATTCGGGGTGGTTTGTTCAAGTCTGAAACTGACACATCCTAGGCTCAGTATGAACCCGTGTTTCATTTCTGAATTGGAAATAAAATACTTACTGTAATCTTTAATTTATCAGATGAGAAGCTATTTTACTCCTTAAAGCTTTCAACACAAGTTAATCTTGACTACACGGGGGATAGTTAGCAGATTCCCAAATCATTCAGCGGTCTCAGTGAGAGACCACGGGAGCCATCTTTGAATTCGTGTCCCTCACCCGCCCCACCCTTTATCAGTGAGTCCTGTCAATCTACCCTGAGAAATGCCTCTCGCTTCACCTCCTCTCATCCCCGCTACCAACATTAGGCACCACCTCTCACCCAAACGATGGCAGCAGCCTTCGCAGGGACGGCCCCACCTCCAGACTCCCCTGTCTCCAGCCCACCCTCTATGCGTCAGTCAGTTTTCTTTCTTAAATACAAACGTGGCTGTGTCTAAATCTTGCCTGGTCTTTCCGATGCCTGCCAGAGCAGGTGCAGACCAGTGAGCCTGGCCCTGACGAGCCTCCTGCCCCGGCCACCCCAGCCCATTGGGGCTCTGGGAAGCCGCTCTTACCCCTCGCACTGCCCCTGCTCCCCCTGCCTGCTCCCTCAACGCTCACTTCCCGAAACCTCACGAACCCTCCAGGGTCTACGCTGCTCGCTTTGTAACACTCTGCACACGTCTCCCAGGAACCTCACTGCTCCTGCATTTCCTCACCATTTCGCTTGCTCACTGGCTGCACGCCCGTGGTTTCACAATGGACTGGCCGCTCTAACCCCCACCTGCGCTGCAAGTTCTTCAAGGGCCGAGGCCTGCTTGGCGTGCACCCCTCCAGGCAGGCAGCAGTATTTTACAATAAGCATTACCTTTCTCTTTATCTTCCAGAACTTCAGCAAATGATAAGAATATGAGACAGGTTTTTATTCTTAGGTCTTTTATTCTTATTAATAGTAAAAGTTATAAATAACACAAAGTATCACTGGTAAAAACAAAAAATTGTGAAGAACTTAAAGGCCTATCATATACATGCTACATCATGGATGAACCTCAAAAACATTCTGCTAATGAAAGCCAGTCACAAATGACCATAACCGATCCCACTGACATGATCCAGAAGAGACGCATCTTTACACAGAAACAGATGCGCCTCAATCTGAGGTGGGGGAGGATGCAGGACACAGGAAGTGACTGGAAATGGTTACATTTCTTTTAAGAGTGATGAAAATGTTCTAAAATTAGATACTTGTGATTGTTGTACAACCGCATGTGTACTGGACCCACTAAACAGTACCCTTTCAACAGGTGAATTTTATGGCATATAAATTATATCCCAATAAAGTTGTTTAAAAAACGAAATAAAAACAAAAGGTCTACTTAACTAGGTAAAAAAAGAGCCCAAAGAATGGATTAGAAACTGCGGTATGTCCATATACCAGAATATCAGACAAAAGTAAGATTCAAAGAAACAGAGCTGGAAGCTCACCAACACCTTGCTACGCCAGTAAAGCGAGGTGCGAAGGAACGATGCAGTCCACCGCTTACAGAAAGTCACAAAGCAGAGACAGCAGCATCAGGCACTGTTCAGGGATAAATTCGTGTGCAGCAAAGGCACAGAGAGCCAGGAATGATAAACACCAACCTGAGGACAGTGGTCATCTCTGAGAGGGGAGGAATGAGACTGGACTTCAGCTTGTATTTACAACTGGGAGAAATGAGTAACTAAGGGGACTAAAGGGCCAAACAGGGGAGACGCTATCAATGTCCTGGGCACACACCCCATGAATCAGCAAAGAGGGGCTTGATCAGAAGCAGGGAATGGGCCTTTTAAAGTAATAGCAGCCATGAACAATATGGACACGAATGGGTGTGGCTGTGGTCCAACGAGACTGTTTACAACAACAGGAGGTCACCAGCATGCTACACTGAGCGCTGAGTGCAGCTGCAGGAGAATTTCTACTCCCACCACCTACACAGTACAGCCTGGGGGCGGGGCTAGGCCGGTCCTAATTTTCAAAGGATTCCAGGCATTCCCACTAAGAAAACTGAACACATTTTCCTCTCAGGAGTCCTGAGGATATATTATTCAACACATTAATTATGTAAATTAATGTTTGTTTTTTCAAGAGAAGATGCTGCTACTCAACAAGGGAACTCATCCTCCAAGAGCCTTGTCAAATACAAGGCCAGTGCATCTCCTGCTGGGTTCAAGAGAGATGCTTCACTGATCCAAAGGCAGCTAATCTGAACCCTAAACCCAATTCACTTCAAATAGTTTTTCATTATCTTTTGGGTTTTCCAGATGATAAACTGAGCACACCTGCAGCTTCCTTCCCATCCCCAGACCACACAGAAGACTGAAAACAAACAACCACAACTGCGTAACTGTACTGGAAAACCAAAGGGAGAGCTGTCTGTGACTGAGAAACCCCGGGACAGGGGGGGCCTGAAATGCAAAAAACTGGCAGATCTGATCAGAACACACAATCGCAAACGTGCAGAAGGAGGAGAACACAGGGGCTCGGGGCCTGGGGCTCACAGGACACCCTCTGCTCGGCCATCAGCACCAGCAGCAGGAAGAGCTGGGTGGGTCAGCCCCACGCTCCCCCGCCACCGCCCTCTCAGGCCCCACGGGAGACAGGCATTCCCAGAGGACACGGTGCTTGGGGAGGAAGGGCCGTCCGCGCCCTGGCTGGAGGGACGGGGTACCCCTGCCCAAAATTCGGAGGTCAAGGCAGCTCTGCGCAGCCAGAAGCCCCCTTCTTCAAGGCACAAAGGAAAGGACACGTATCCCAACTAAGCAGTGGAGAAATTACCCAGTTTGTGCACAAATATACCGAAGAATCAAGATAAAGGACGTCTTTACAGGAGTAAAGATGGTACAAATACACAGACAGTGAATCAGTATAAAAACACACTCTACAGTTTTGAATGAAACCCCTAAAGTGACTCTCACAGCGATCCACCCTTCTAGGCAGCCTTGCGCAGCTGCCTGGCTCCTCAAACGTGAGGCGGAAACCACCACTAGTAACAGCTAAGTAAACGCACCGCATCTCAGAGCAGCATTAGAAAACCCATGCCACGCCTGCGCTTCCGCTGTGAGGGGGTTCCCGCTGCTGGACGCCAGATGCCACACTGCAGAGCCTGGTTTGAGGGTTTCCTTAACGCAGCTCGGAACTCCAGGGAAGAACTGCAAAACTGGTGGTATTTTGGAGAGAAAGGGTCAAAAAGCTACCAAAATACTCAAATTACAGTATTTTGGTTAAAAATTCAGGCCATAAATTTTGACACAGTTGCCCAGTAGAAAAACTTATCACTTTCAGTGATGAGTGTTTTTCCAACTTGTATGCACAGTAGGTCTCCACTTTTAGTGTTACTCAGCACGGACTAATCACCACGAACGCTCACAGAGCACGGAAACCGGGCGGGCACCGTCGCACGGCCTGTTACTACGGCTCCTTTCCCTCTCCCCTCACAGCCCCAGGAGGTACAGAACAGTCTGCTGACACACGAGGACAGAGATGCTTAGCGGGGTTGGGGGTCCTTCCAAAGTCACCCTTCTGCCAAGTGCAGAGACCAGGATTTGAACCCAGTCGTCTGGATTCAGGGCTGGTGTCTTAAGCCTCATGTTAGGCCGATTAACTGTAGCTTCACTAGATCCCACGTGGACTTACTGACCACTCAGAACGCGTGGCAGGGACGACGGGCAGAGCCGCGGAGGACGCAGAGCACCCAAGACCTGTGAATGCGACCTTCACCCTCCAAGACACAGCACATGGGAGAGCTCGGCTCACCTGCCCCGGCTGAGCTGGTGGCAATCTTTTAAACAAAACATTTAAAGCCTTTGGAAACAGTCCGAGGCGCAAACGGTAATCTAGTCAGAACAGAAACCTAGGAAAATTCAGAACTGACCCCACTTGCAAGGAGAAGTCTGCACCCACGGGCACGGGAACAGAGAAGCAGATGCACCACGGCGTCATATGGCGGGAGGAGCCCTCCCGGGGTTGGAACGGGAATCCCAGAAACGAGTCCCTGGAAGGAGCCACACGTTCGCAGGGTCAGGCCACAGAGGAACGCGTGCCGTGGGCACTGCTGAAAGCAGCAGTGCCACGGACAGCACTGAATGGAGACTGCGCCCGGCAGCCCAGTGGCTGAGTGGGAGCACGCCCCACCGGTGCCACGGCCGTCCCAGGGGGGCTGTGGGCGCGCCACACCGTGCCCCCGGGGGGCAGCGCCGGAGCCAGGACACACCTGACTGACGTAGCCCAGCCAGTACATGACCACAAAAACCAGGAAGACACCTGGGAAGAGTCTGCAGGGACCAGCACCCAGAGTCACTAAAATATATTGCCTAAAGCGTCCTCTTTGCAGCAAAAAACCACCAGCACAACAAAACTACCAGGCAAAACACAGCAGAGAAACAGAAGGCGGAGGCACAAGGAACCACCTGTGAGCGTCCAGATGTCAGCTTTAGCAGAAGGGAGCTTAAAGCTGCCATTATAAACATGTTCACTGAACGAGAGACATATGGTTAAAGAACTAAAGGAAGATAGGATGACAATTTGTATCAAGTAGAGAATATTAACAAAGGCAAGAAGTATAAAGAACAAATAAATGGAGCCTCTGGGGTTAGAGAAGCACAGCAACTAAAAAAAAATTCATCAGAGGGGCTCAAGCGTGGACTGGAACTGGCAAAAGAAAGAATTTTCTTCGTGTTTTCTTCTTCTTTTTTAAAATTGCACATTTATTTATTTGTTTGTTTATTTATTTTAGGGGGAGGTAGTTAGGTTTATCTACTCATTTTTAGAGAAGGTACTGGGGATTGAACCCAGGACCTCATGTATGCTAAGCGTGTGCTATACCGTCCTCCTGAGAATTCTTAAACTCAAACTCAGATAGATTAATAGAGATTATGCAGGCTGGGGAGCAGAGAGGAAAAAAGATCAAGAAAAGTGAACAAAGCCTGAGAGACGTATGGGACAAAAATAAGTAAAGATATATATCCTTTCTTTTCTTAACTACTATTGCAAAAAAAATGCAACTGTATAAAATGATACTGTGTAACCCACTACAGCTCACAGCACACAATGTAGTACAAACGG